GAATAGACCTTACCAGGGAGGCTTAAGAGCATGATTCCCCTGTAGTTGGAACACACTCTACGGTCCCCCTTTTTGAATAGGGGGACCACCACCCCAGTCTGCCAATCCAGGGGAACTTCCCCAAATGCCCACGCAATATTGCAGAGACGCAACCTCAACCTCCATCCATCCGTATATTATCTTTACCCACTTCTTCCTTTTGGTGTCCCTGGGTGGGGTTCCACTGGTGCCCATATCCAGCTATCACTGTGCAAGGGGCAGGGGACACCCTGGACAAGTTGTCAGTCCATCACATCACATAGCCACAATCATTCACTATCACTCACACCTAGGATCAATTTAGAGTTACCAGTCAGGCTAACATGCATGTTTTTGGTCTTTGGGATGAAACCGGAGTACCCGGAGAAAACCCACACATGCATGGAGAGAACATGCAAAGTCCACCCAGAAAGGCCCCCGTACCGGGATTTGAACCAGGGCAATCTGCTTGCTGAGAGGGAGCAGCTCTACCAACTGCACCACCGTGCTGCCCAAAAAAACTCAACCAGACCCATCAATTTTACCATATTAAGCCATCAGGTTCCCCTCGTGACCTTGTCCCCCCTCGTTTTTTAAAAGCAGTTTTTCCAGCATCAGGCATGTGATCCTTGCTGTTCTCAATAGCAGTCTGTCCTCAGGTGTTGTCCCGATAAGTTTCAAACATGTGGTAGTGCAGCCCCTGCTTAAAATACCTAGCCTAGACCAAATTATTGGCCCATCTACAAACTGCCTTTTATTTCTAAATTTTTAGAAAATATTGCATATTCCCAGCCCTGTGATGGACTTGCGACCTGTCCAGGGTGTACCCCGTCTCTTGCACAGTGACTGCTGGGCAGGGGCACCTGTGAACTCCACAACCCAAAAAGGAAGAAGTGGGTAAAGATAATGGACAGATGGATGGATGCATAGTCCCAGGTAAAGTGTTTTTTGGATGAGCACAATATCTTGGAGGTGCTGAGGTCTAAACGGAGGTTCAGAGGGGACAGAGCTTTTTCTGTTGCCGCTCCAAGACTGTGGAACGATCTCCCTCTTCTCATCAGACGAGCCCCTTCACTGTCCATTTTTAAAACTCTTTTTAAAATACATTTTTACCCCCTGGCTTTTAGCACAGACTGAATTTGCTCTTCACTGTTTTTATTGTTTTATTGATCTTAATGTTTTAACAACTGTTTTATTTTTATGTGTTTAAACTTTCTTGATTTTATGTGTACAGCACTTTGTTTCAGCCGTAGTTGTTTTAAACAGTTTTATAAATAAAGTTTTTTTTAATTATTATTATTATTAATCGTTAGACATATTTATATATAACCTCATCTCCCCATATAATCTCATCTGCTCACACAGATTCATGTTTGTGCTGCTGTTCGGCATATTGTTTTTATGCTATTAGTGCTTAGTGTATTTTTAGTTAAAGTTTTTATTAGTTCATATCTTAGATCTGTTTTTCTGTACTGTTTTTCTTTTACATTTTATTGTTAGATGTAGCTGGGACCCTGTGTACACAATTTCCTTCCACGACATGTACCACATGTGGTGCGAATGACATATAAACAAACTCTGACTCTATGACTCTATTTCTCATTTGTCATTTTTAGCTAAAGTCTTGGAAAAAGTTGTTTTGATGCTGTTACATAAATGAAAAGCATGGCATTTATTATTAATTTAATTGAAATTATTAATTTCAGTCTGGATTTAGAACTCGTCATAGTGCTGAATCAGCCCTGTTAAAAGTCTGTAACGATATTGTCATGTCTATGAATGCTAAGTGTCCTGTTGCTTTAGTGTTGCTGAACCTTACAGCTACTTTGGACACAGAGGACCATGCTGTCCTTCTGTCTCATCTTCAACACTATGCTGTATGGTATATTTGGGTCTACTTTACTTGACCAACAGAACATTCTTTGTCAGGACGGGTAATCTGTCTTCCTCTACTGCACCTCATTCTTATGGTGTGCCACAGGACTCTATTCTCGGTCCTCTCTTTTTTCTTCGTAAATGCTGCCACTTGAATCAGTTATAGCCAGACACCACATTTATTTTCACTGCTATGCAGACAATTTGCAAAATTTATTTTCATATGAAGCCTAAAAGTATTAACCTTCATATTTTATTTATTGATTGACGACATTAAGTAATGGCTTCACCAGAATTTTTTGTTTTTAAGTAAAGGCTAGATTGAATGCATCTTCTTTGGTGATTATGCTTTCTGTAACTTTGGTGTTTTGACATCCAAGTTTAGACCAGCAGTTCAATACTTTTAGGTGACCTTTGACAAGGATTTAAAGTTTGACAAAAAGACTGTGGTCAAGGCCACCTTTTATCAGTTACTGTTATTCAAGGACAAGCCTTTTATAAAGCGTCCGGACCTTGAAAAGGCCATTTATGGTTTTATCAGCTCAAGGCTTGACTACTGCAATGCTCTGTATGTTGGAATCTCCCAAACCTCCATCAGATGTCTTTTACTGGTCCAAAATGCTGCGGCCCATTTTTTAACCAACACCCTCAGACATCAAGCCTGTTTTATTTTCTCTTTATTGGCATCCAGTCCATCCATCCATCCATCCATCCATTATCTTTACCCGTTTATTCCATTTTGGGTCACGGGGGTCGCTGGTGCCCATGTCCAGCAATCACTGTGCGAGGGGCGGGGTACACCCTGGACGGGTCGCAAGTCCATCACAGGGCCACATAGGGACAAACAACCATTCACTCTCTCACTCACACCTAGGGACAATTTAGAGTTACCAATCAGCCTAACATGCATGTTTTTGGTCTGTGGGAGGAAACCGGAGCACCCAGAGAAAACCCACGCATGCACGGAGAGAACATGCAAACTCCACCCAGAAAGGCCCCTGGACCGGGGTTTGAACTAGGGACCGGCTCGCTGAGAGGCAGCAGCTCTACCAGTTGCGCCATCGTGCTGCCTACCGTGCATCCAGTCCATTTTAAAATAAATTTAAAAATTTTATTATTCACTTTTAATGTTTTTAATGGTCTTGCCCCACTTTATTTTGCTGATCGAATAGCTTTTTATGAGTGTAAGAGAACTTTAGGATCAATTAATACATGTTTACTGTTTGTCCCAAAGTCCAAATACATATGTTAAGGTGATCGGGCCTTTTCGGTCTCTGCACCCAGACTCTGGAACCAACGACCTCAAGACTTGTGTTCCATAACTGATCTAGCTCTTTTTAAAATCTAATCTTAAAACCTTTTTATTCAGACAGGCTTTTAATACCTAGTGACTCTCTGGCTTTTTTGTGTTGCTTTTAATTGTTTGCTTTTGGCTTTTGTATTGTGCAGCTCTTTGTGCACTTTTTGGCTGTTGGAAAGGGCTCTATAAATAAATATTGATTAATTGATTGATTTTTTTTTTACTGCAGGACATCTGTATTACCACACAAATGTCTGTCTGTCTCAAGTTGTTGACTATAACCATCCGCAGGGAATTTAACAAACTTTTGGACTGACCAGACGATCAGATCAGCAGCTTTGACTCCATCAACATATATACAGTTCATGCTCTGCACACCTACATTTGTGCTGTAAGATGTTCATCCAGAAGTGTACAGGTTTAATATTAACCAATACAGTTTCCTTTTATACCTTTTAACATTTCTGTGGAAAAAAAAGTTCATAAAGCTTAAACTATGTGAAAGGGACCCTCCTTGGGCTAGCCATTATCCTACCTGGACAAAGACTTGTGTTATTTTTCATACTCCCCCTGCTAGGGGTGCACTGACATCAGGGCTCATAAGATACTTTTTATAACTATTTGGCAGAACATAACTGCAAAAGTCACCAGACTATCTCCATAAGTATGATAAAATGTTTGAACATGAAATAAATGTGACTGTTATTTTTGTATAAACCAAAACTAAAAAGCTCATAAGAATGTAACTTTATTTTATTGTTCTGTTCCAGGTACAGTGGAGAAGAAGGCATCTCCAACATGTTGATCCTTGACATTGCCTTGCTTTCGGGATTCGTCCCAGAGCCCCAGTCTTTGAAGATCGTGAGTGATTTTAGTGATTTCTACCTGAATAAAGGAGTATAAGAAACATGTCTGTTTGTGAGCTGATGGTACTAAAACAGCTGAATTGTGTCCGCTCGTAGCTCAAAGGAGCTCTGCTGGTGAATCGGGTTGAACACAAGGATGGCCATGTTCTGGTGTACTTGGAAGGGGTGAGAGCAATGGACAGTATGGAGTATTATGCAATGCCAGGTGAATTAATTACTGAAAATGTTCTGTTTTTGTTTTCTGCTCAGGTTATGAAGGATATACCAGTCAACCATCACTTGGTGCTTTTACAGCAGGTCTTGGTGCACAACCTCAAACCAGCTGTAATCACCCTCTATGACTACTACCAGCCAAGTAAAGCTTCTTACAGAGAGCATAAAACACTTTTTGCCCTAACTTAGACACATCAAAAACATTTATCACATTGTTTGCTTTTAGGTGAGAGGGCTGAGAAAGAATATACTGCAATATGACTACTCAAGGTAATAAATCACAACATCCTTAAGAATGAAAAACTAATCATGTATAAAAGCTAACTATCCTGAACATAATAATGGATTCACAATAAAGTGAGTGGGTTACTTTAGTAATAATGCAAGTTGTAATTTTTTAATATAAATTTCTGTACAGAATCACTGATTCACTATGCTTATTTAGAAGTTTATCCAGCATATTCATTCCTCAGCACAAGATGAATTTATTTGAGTGTTTCACTCTAAAAGATAGTATCTCTAGAAAAGACTGAGAAGAATTTTCCACTAGTAACATGAAACTATGGTGTGCCCTGTAATTTTCATTGCAAGTGTCTTCAGTCTTGTTCTAACAAGTGAGAGCATGACGTGAAGATGGAAGTAGTATTTTGAGGGGCAAATGAATGAAGAGATTGAAAGATAAAGAAGAGTAGAGGCAACTGTGGACCAGGAAGTGGGAAAGATTAGTGAGGGTGAAGTTCAGAAACCTTTGAAAATAATGAGGAAGGGGAAGCCAGTAGGACCTGGTGACATACCAGTGAATGTCTGGAAATGTCTTGGAGAGATGCCAATGAGAATTTTGATTCAAATATTCAACGGCATACAGTATTTCAGGGTAAGAACATGAGACGAAGAAAACTTATATGGACAAAAGACATCAAGAAACTCAGTGTCCCTTGCCCAGATGTGGGTTCCCGGGGCCCCACCCTGGAGCCAGGCCTGGGGGAGAGGCTCGTCAACGAGCGCCTGATGACTGGGTCTCTACCCATGGGGCCCAGTCAGGCTCAACCAAAAGGAGTAACACGGGTTTGTCTTCCTGTGGGCCAACCATCTGCAGGAGGGGCCATATGAGTCGGGTCCATGACGCCATGGGCAGTGGCCGAAGGCGAGGACCTTGTTGCTCTGACCCTGGCTTACCAAAGCTGGCTCTCGGGACATGGAATGTGACTTCTGGCAGGGAAGGAGCCTGAGCTTGTGCATGAGGTTGAGAGGTACCAACTAGATATAGTTCAGCTCACCTTGATGCACAGCATGGGCTCTGGAACCAATCTCCTTGAGAGAGGCTGGACCTTATTCCTCTCTGGAGTTGCCCATGGCAAGAGGCACTGAGCTGGTGTGGGTCTACTCTTAGCCCTCTAAGCCCTCTGACTGTTGTTTGTGCCTATATGCCAAACGGCAGTTCAAAGTATTTGGCCTTCATGGATTCCTTGGCGGGGATACTGGAAGACGCGCCAGCTAGGGATTCCTTTATTCTGCTGGGGTACTTCAATGCCCACGTGGGTAATGACAGTGTGACTTGGAGGGGTATGATTGGGAGGAACGGCCTCTCTGATATGAACTCAAGTGATGTTCTGTTGTTGGACTTCTGTGCTAGTCATAGTTTGTCCATCACAACACCATATTTGAACATACAAATGTCCATAAGTGCATTTGGCACGATGACGCTCTAGATCTTAATTCAATTATTGACTTTGTAGTCATGTCATCTGATTTGCGGCTATTTGTTCTGGACACTCGTGTGAGAGGAGGAGAGCTGTCAACTGATCACCACCTGGTAGTGAGTTGGGTCAGATGGCAAAGGAAGATGCCGAACAGACCTGGTAGACCTAGGATTTTTGGGAATGCCTGGCAGAAGAACCCCTCAGAAAGTCAGAGTCAGAGTTTCTTTATTTGTCATTCTCACCACATGTGGTACAGGTGGTGGAACGAGATTGTGTACTCAATGTCCCAGTTACATCCAACAATAAAATGTAAAAGAAAATCAGTAATAAGATCTGATATATGAACTAAGAAAAACCTCAACTAAAAATATGCTAAGCATTAATAGCATCAAAACAATATGTCTAACAGCAGCATGAAAATGAGCCTGTGTGAGCAGATGAGCATGAACTAACACAGCAACATGCAACATGATGTATTTTTTTTCAATGGTGATTATCCTGGTTAGATATTCATGAGTCTAACAGCCTCAGAGTAGAAGCTGTTCCTCAATCTAGTGGTTCTACACTTAATGCTCCTTAACTTACTTCCTGAGGGGAGTGGGGCAAAAAGTGTGTGTGCTAGGTGAGTGGGGTCTTTCATGATGCAGGTGGCCCTCTTCCTGCATCTAGAGGTGTAGATATATGTGATGGTGGGGAGTCTGACTCCATCAGACTTCTGTGCAGCCTTCACCACTCTCTGCAAAGCTTTTCTTTCTGCAGCTGTGCTTCATCCATGCCACACGTTTATGCTGGAGCACAGGATGCTCTCCACTTTACACCTGTAGAAGGAGGTGAGGACTGTGCTTCACAGACCAGCTCGTCTCAGCCACCTGAGGAAGTAGAGTCTCTGATGAGATTTCTTAATCAGGCTGGTGGTGTTGTTGCCCCAGCTGAGGTTGTCATTCAGGTGCACACCCAAGTGCTTGTAGCTGAAGACCACTGGAGAAAGATCTTCAACTTGCATTTCCAGGAGAGCTTTAACTGCATCCCAGCTGAGGCATTCCAGCTGAGGCATCCCAGCTGAGGCAGGGGGCATTGAGTCCAAATGGGCCATGCTCCACACCTCAATTTTTGAAGTGGCTGCCTTGAGCTGAGCTGCAAGGTTTTCTGTGCTTCTTGTGGTGGCCATCCTCAAACTCAGTGGTGAACATCTCGGGTTAGGGAGACTGTCAAGCTGAAGAAGGAGTCCAATTGGTCCTTGTGGGCTGTTGGGACTCTGGAGGCAGCTGAGGAGTACCAGAGGGTCAAGTAGTCCGCAGCGTTGGCTGTTGCTGAGGCCAAAGCTCGGATGTGGGAAGAGTTTCGTTAGGCCTTGGATAAAGACTCTTGGTCGGCTCCAAGGTGATTCTGGCAAACCACCAGGAGGCTGGGGAGGGGAATGTAGCTTTTTACTAATGCTGTGTTCAGTGAAGGTGGGGTGCTATTGACCTCAACCAATGATGTCATTGGGAGGTGGAAGGAATAATACTCGGACCTTCTCAATCCTACCAGCATGTCTTCCATGGAGGAAGAGGAATCAGGGGACTTTAGGCTTGGTCTGTCCATAACTATGACTGAGGTTGCCAAGGTAGTTACAAAAATATGTGGCGGCAGGTCTCCGGGGTGAATAACATATTCCCTTATTTCCTTAAGGCTCCAAATGTTGTGGACTGTCTTGGTTGACACATTTTTGCAACATAGCATGGACATCAGGGCCAATGTCACTGGATTGGCAGACTGGGGTGGTGGTTCCCCTCTTCAAATAGGGGAACCGTTGGGTGTGCTCCAGTTAGAGGGGTATCACTCTCCTTAGCCTCCCTGGTAAGGTCTATTCAGGGGTGCTGGAATAGCGAGTCCAATTGTTGGTCGACCCTCAGATCCAGGAGGAACAATATGGGTTCCATCTGGGTTGGCTGTGGAACACTGGGCTAGATCAACACTCGTTAGGGTCCTCAAGGGATCATGGGAGTTTGCCCATCCAGTCTACATGTGTTTTGTGGACTTGGACAAGGCATTCAACCATGTTCCTTGGGGTACACTGTGGGGGGTGCTCCACGAGTATGGGATAGGGGGTCCGTTGTTATGGGCTGTTTAGTCCCTATACAAATGGTGCGAGAGTGTGGTTCACATTGCCGGTACTAAGTCGGACCCCTTCAGGATGGGAGTGGGACTTGGCCAGGGCTACCAATTGTCACCTATTCTGTTCATACCTTTTATGGACAGAATTTCTCAGTGCAGCTGGGGGCAGAGGGATTCTGATTCGGTGGCCTCAGGATTCCATCTCTGCTCTTTGCAGATGATGTGGTCTTGTTGCCTTCATCGTGCCGTGATCTTCAGCTCTCACTGGAGCAGTTCACAGCTAAGTGTGAAGGGGCTGGGATGAGAATCAGCACCTCCAAATCTGGGGCCATGCTCCTCAATCGGAAAAGGGTGGATTGCTGTATTCAGGTCAAGGGTGAGGTTCTGCCTCAAGTGGAGTTCAAATATATTGGGGTTTTGATCTTGGGTGAGAGAAGAATGGAGCATGAGATTGATTGATGAGATTGGACTGGTGCAACATCTGTAGTATTACAGACTCTGCACCAGTCCATTGTGGTGAAGAGGCAACTGCGCTGTAAGGCAAAGTTCTCTGTTTACTGGTTGGTCTATGTTTCTACCCTCGCCTATGGTCATGAGCTTTGGGTAGTCACAGAAAGAATGAGATTGCAGATACAGGCGGTTGAAGAGAGTCTCCTTCGCAGGGTAGCTGTACTCTCCCTTAGAGATAGGGCGAGAAGTTCAGTTATCTCGGAGAAACTCGGAGTAGAACAGCAACTCCTCCACATCGAGAGGAGCCAGTTGAGGTGGTTCAAGCATCTGGTAAAGATGCCCCTTGGGCACCTTCCTAGGGAGGTGCATTGGGCATTTATGACTGGGAAGACCTAGGACACGCTAGAGAGTTGAGAGGAGTTTAGAAACATTGTTCAAAATCTTCTAAGAGTATGGGAAGGGTTTAAAACTCCTCATATATATATATATATATATATATATATATATCCATCCTTGGGCTGCCACCTTACCATGTTGGAGGGGTTTGAGTGTCCCAATGATCTTAGGAGCTATGCTGTCAGGGGTTTCATGCCCCTAGCAGGGTCACCCAAGACAGACAGGTCCTAGGTGAAGGACCAGACAAAGTGCAGCCTAAAGACCCCTTATGATGAGTACAATCATTGGAAACAATGCTCCCTCGCCTAGACGTGGGTTACAGGGCCCCACTCTGGAGCCGGGTCTGGAGGTGGGGCACGCTGGCGAACACCTGGTGGCTGGGCTTTTATCCATGGAGCCCGGTCAGGTACAGCCTGAACAGGAGACGTGGGGCCCCCTTCCCATGGGCTCACCACCTTTGGGAAGGGCCAAAGGGGTTGAGCGCAATGTGGGATGGGTGGTGGCCGTTGGTGGGGACCCTGGCGGTCTGATCCTTGGCTACAAAAGCTGGCTATTGGGACGTGGAATGTCACCTCTCTGATGGGGAAGGAGCCTGAGCTAAATGGTAAATGGACTGTACTTATATAGCGCCTTTCTATCTTATTTCAATATACTCATAGCGCTTTACACTACAATCTGTGCCCTCATTTACCCATTCATACAGCACTCTACTAGATCTCTACAAAGCTAATTGAACAAATCATTCTAAAGAGACTAATCAGTGCCTTAGATCACATTCATACACCGATGGAACACACATAAGAGGCAATGAGGGGTTCAGCGTCTTGCCCAGGGACACTTCAGCATGTGACTGCTGGTGGATTCAAACCCCCAACTTTCGCATTGGTGGACGACTGCTCTAACCACTCAGCCACAGCAGCCACAGCAGCCCCAGCTGGTGTATGTGATTGAGAGATTCTGGCTATAAATAGTTGGACTCACCTCAACGCATGGCTCTGGCTCTGGAACCAATTTCCTTGAGATGGGTTGGACACTCTTCCACTATAGAGTTGCCCCTGGCAAGCGGTGCTGAGCAGGAGTGGGCAAACTTGTTGCCTCCCATCTTGGTGCCTTTACGTTGGGGTTCACCCCAGTGAATGAGAGGGTAGCCTCCCTCCGCCTACATGTGGGTGGACGAGTTCTGACATTTGTTTGTGCTTATGCGCCAAACGGCAGTTCAGATTACCCACACTTTTTGGAGTCCTTGGAGGGGGTACTAGAGAGTGCGCCTCCTGGGGATACCCTTGTTCTGCTGGGGGACTTCAATGCTCACGTGGGCAATGATAGTAAGACCTTTTAGAGTATGGTTGGGAGGAACGGCCCCCCTGATCTGAACTCGAATGGTGTTCTATTATTGGACTTCGGTGCTTGTCATGGATTGTCCATAACAAACACCATGTTCAAGCATAAGGGTGTCCATATGTGCTCTTGGCACCAGGACACCCTAGGCCGCAGTTTGATGATTGACTTTGTTGTCGTCTCATTTGATCTGCGGCCGCATGTCTTGGACACTCGGGTGAAGAGAAGGGCAGAGCTTTCCACTAACCACTACCTGGTGGTGAGTTGGCTCCGATGGTGGGGGAGGATGCCGGTCAGACCTGGCAGGCCCAAACTTATTGTGAGGGTTTGATGGGAACGTCTTGCAGGGTCTCCCATGAGACAGAGCTTTAACTCCCACCTCCGGGAGAGCTACGTCCACGTTCTCAACCGAACTGTCTCTGATGGCCATCATTTCGGTTGAGCTGTATTGAGCTGTGAATTTAGCACTAAACTAGTGCCTCAAACAGCCTCATAGGAATGAAAACAATTAAAATAAAACTTAATTCCGGGAGTATGAGAAGCCACTGCACTTCTGTGTGCCGCCATAGCCATTGCAACATCATAAATCTTGAATTAGGTAGACTCAAAATATTTATCTGTTCTTGATGGCATCAAGAACGCATAAAGGACGGATACCACTTTCTGTACTTTCTGAAAGTTCAATTAAACTGTGCAGTGGTTCAAGAGCTAATATGATAACAGACACACTAATACACACAAACCTGAGCAAAAACACAACGTCCACCTTTAATTTTAGTTGCAAGAGACAAATCTGTCCTGGGCTGAGGAATATCTGCTGACTTATTCTGCTGACTTATATTTACTCATTTCTGCAGGTCTGTAGTTTTGTGACATACATGTACCTACCTTTTCTAAGATGCTTTACACTACATTTAAATTGTTTTTCATAAGCTAGGAGACAAGGTTGGTAAGGATGGACACATTCATTTTAATTCAGATTTATCCAAAATTTTGTCTTCAGTTCAGCTCAACACAGAATCACATTGAAATTGGTAATAAGTAGATTTAAAGATGTTTTTTAAAGCTAACTCTTTCTTTTACAGGCCAAAGAATGAAGTGTGGTCAATCCTGATGCCAGTATTGATTTTTGCTTTATTAAAACTCAAAGGAACTTATTTTCTTAAAAAATATATGGTTTAAGTATTGTGTCATGTATTGGTTATGTTACACAGCTAACTGTTTTTTTTTTTTTTTTTGTCTTTGTCACACCTATGTAACTGTGGAATGTGTTCAATCCAATCGCAAAGAAGAGCAAAACTGAATAAAGTGATCTGAATGACCCTCAAAGATGTTTTGGTGTTATAATCTTTGCAAACAGCAGAAATGAGTTTAATTACAATTAAAGTTCAAACCTGGACTTCCAGTGACGTCATGTTATAGGTAGCAGCTAGAAGACAGGCTCAGTCTGTTTTAAAGTTATTCCCTAACAAAACTACTGGGAAACTGCCATTTTTAATAAAAGCAATATGGCATCATCTGTAAGAAGCAAAGGTTGACAATGATGGGTTTTTGGATTTGTGCACAACACCGGACAACAGGAATGGTTTAAATGATTTATTGAAATAATGCTGCTGGTGGAGGTCTTGGTCTGGGCACAGGTCCAATCTGTAGAGATATGGAAATTAGTAAATGTGGCTTTGCTGTGAGGGTTCTGAGCTTTATAGTGAAAATCACTAACCTTCACAGTCGGGGAATAAAGGGACTCCTTCAGAGAGTTATTGAGGCTAACATCGTGCACTGTGAGGGAGCTGCGTCAGTGAGAAAAGATTATGCAAAGTGTGATTTTCAGGATTGTTCAGGGGCAAAGTCCAGTTGAGCAGGCAGGGATCAAGAATCATAGAGCAGAACTCCAAATCCAAAACTTGATCCAAGCAAACAGTACCAAACAAAGGACAAAGGCAAACATTTGAAACAGATGGATGTGAAGGTCGAGATGTGAAGATGTTTGTAAAGGAGCTATTCCAAAGCGCTCTCCAGCTTCTGCCTGAACTCAACATCAATTTTGAACGGGCACACCGAGCGCTCAGTGCAAAGTCCAAGAACCTGACTGCAGCCCCATGCTCACTGATTGTCAAGTTCATGGACTTTACAGTCAAAGAAAATGTCTTGCGACAGGCATGGACTCAGAGGAAAGTTTTGATTTAAGGAAAGCAGATTTTCATTGACCATGATTACTCCCCGAAGCTTCAGAAAAAGTGAGCATCTGTGCGGGTCGCAATCAGTTAAAACTGAAAAACAAAAACAAAATGATTGTATCCAGCATAGCTTAAAATAATTATGGATAACAAGGAGAAGATCTACATGACTATTATAGAGGCTGTACCTGCACTTCAAGAGTTGAGCGGGCACATTCAGGTGGCTGAGAAAGAGTGGACTGAAGCTGAGATGTCCCGACACGGATAGAGCACGGCGAGAGGAGGATGGAGCAAAGACCCGGAGGAGCCGTCCTACGCAGAGGTCAAGGCTTTCTTGAGTGTGGGCCGCTGAACTCAACCTACGCCGAGTTTATGTCATTCTGCTAAACATTATACGTTAGGAGAGAATTGATGAGATTTTTTTTTAGATTGTTTATTTTCATTTTCATATTGGACAGACCGGTTAACGAGCGCACCTTTCCAGCCACAGCACACCGCTCTACGAGAGCAGCGTCAACACTGTGTGTTTTTTCCACAATATATTTGTCACCACCCTCCGCCCAGGAATCAACGGGGACTGGTTTTAAGTCAGGTTTGAAAACCAATCTTTGGATTTGACTAACTAATCCAGTTGGGTATGTGGAAGAACAGTTGATTTGTTAGTTCAATTGTATTATTTCACTTTGTCTTATGACTG